GAACGGATGAAAAACGGTGTTATTCGAGGTCAGCCTTCCCCTTTAGGTTAGTTAAGACGAGTTTCTCTTAGTCTAATGCAGATTGTGTTGATTATTTTTATTTATTTCCCATTTGCATATAACCACACATCATGTGCGGGTGATCTAACTGACTGTTGTGTTTCACATAGCACAGGTGGAGCAGTGATCAACGGCTCACCCCAGCCCTCCTCCTCTTCCTCCATTAATGATGTCTCCTCCATGTCCACAGAGCCCACCGTGGCCTCTGACACAGACAGCAGCCTTGAGGCCTCCGCAGGACCCCTGAGCTGCTGCAGATGACTATCACCTTCCCCTGGCGTTTCTCTGTGTGTGGCATGGTATCAGATTTAGGCCAGTCTAATACTTCATTTCGGGTCGGGTGTGGCTTTTTTTAGTTCCGCTCTAGATGCTGTAAATGACTACACAATTTTATCTTTTTAGCAGCAGCCCTAATATTTAAAGCTACGTTTAGAGTATTTTGTCAAGTTGTCGTAGAGTGATTTTGGAAGGTAATCTGTAAAGATTGAATTGTGAATATATTTTCTCAAATGAATTTATTTTGAGTCTTTTTTTCCTGGTCAATGTATAATTTTCTTGGTCACTTGGGATATGAAAAACTTTAGAAACAAGTCCATATTAGTATTCTTGAATGGACATAACAATATTGCACAAATTAATATCAGCATAGTTATTTAAGTTCATTTTGACATAACTTGCCTGAGGTGGCTTTTTCTGGTCATATTTTCCATCACTGTGCACAGCACATTTTATTTAAATTTTGTACAGTTTCATTTAGATATAGTAACTTACAACATCAAAAAAATATTTTTATATGTACATTGATTTATTTTACCAGGCTGTTCTTTTTTTTCATTAATAGTTTTGCTGCTGGTTAATTTCCTGGTTGAATGTGAAATGTGACGTGCTTGTATGTCTGTGGGGTTCTCGTTTTTGTTCTAGTCCTAGTTACCTAGGATTTCAGCACCTTTATTTTTTATAATAAAAAAATTGTTTTACCTCTTCAAAATCTGCGTATAGAACAAGCATTGCGCTTCATTATTGTGTCATTGCATTTTGCATTTTTTTCTCTGTTTTTCCCAACCCTTAATAAGGTTTTGTTTTGTGGCATATGAGTCTGAAATTTCCTGAGCTGGTAGAACAAATGTTAATAATTTACAATTATTTTATTATTATTATTATTATTATTTGGAACAGCAACAATAGAGTCTACACTGGTTAATTTTTAGCATATTCCATTAGAGTTTTAAGCTACTTATTTATTTTTGTACAACAGTGAATGAACCAGATTTGAAAATAATTTATCTCTAGATCGCTTTTACTTTTAGTGTTTTTTTTTTGTTAGTTTTTTCCCCCCGTCAGGTTGGAAGGTCTTTATTGGCATGTGATGTGCTGTAAATGAATGGGACCTACTGTTTTGGGGATTGACCTACTGTACATATGTGTTTTGTAACTTGTGTCATTGAATACTGTGGAGCTCCACACATTATTTGATAAAACGTTTAAGAAAAATCAGGGAAGTGGGTTTCTTTTACGTTTGCTTCTGAATGTGAAGGTGATAGAGAATGCCGAATCGGCCTGAAGTTGTGGAGTTTAGAGGGAATTTGAATGTTGTTGACATGGGGTTCAGCCCATTGGATATACAGGTGCATCTCAATAAATTAGAATGTCGTGGAAAAGTTCATTTATTTCAGTAATTCAACTCAAATTGTGAAACTCGTGTATTAAATAAATTCAATGCACACAGACTGAAGTAGTTTAAGTCTTTGGTTCTTTTAATTGCGATGATTTTGGCTCACATTCTGTGTGCATTGAATTTATTTAATACACGAGTTTCACAATTTGAGTTGAATTACTGAAATAAATTAACTTTTCCACGACATTCTAATTTATTGAGATGCACCTGTATTTACCTGTGCACAGGGTAAAAACTCAATATTTTGCTATTACTTTATATTATTGTTGTTTTGTTTTTAAGTGCTCTTAACAGTGGCAATGATTTTAAACCCTATATACTAACATGTGATATGTTTTAGGCATGAAACACTGAGCCGTTTGAAGGTCGAGTCTGAACTACCTCACACTGATGCTATACTGCTACATTTTAAAAGTATTATTGTAACCTTTATTTCATTTTATTTATTTATTCAGAAAAATAGGAGTGTTCAACTGGCTGTATAGTTTGAATCTGTGAGAAAGTACTGTATGTATGTGTATACAATTCAGCGAGTATGTCTTGGTTTATTCTAATCTAGACTGTTTTTTTGTTTTCTTCAGCTTATGTGCAGTAACTCAAAGCTGAACAATGAACCATGTTATTTCAGACTCGACATCTATGCGAAAATGTTTGGAAGGATTCTGTCCATGTTTTGCTGTTTCGAGAAAAAGAAATGAGAATAATAAAAATGGAGAGGAAAAGTTTCTCATCCCCAATCTCAACAATGGGCGGTATCTTGCATGACCTGCTTAGCATTTGATTTTAAGTCCAAAACACTGTACAAGAACCATAAGATCATGGTGCTGGGTTTATTAGACTGCACAAGCTGATGCAGTTGTTTTATATTAGGGTTAGCAGATTACCACCTCATTAGAATGCACTGAAATTCAACTGTTAACATCATAACTGGAAAAATGGAAATAAACAGTTGGAAAATGGGTTTGCTTGTGTGTGTGTTTTTTTTTGTTTACCCATTATTGTCCCTTCTCCAAGAAGTTATTCTTAGTTTATCTTTCTTGACCATGAACAACTTTGGAATTTGTTGCTGCTTTCTATATATATAACCAAAGACTTTGAAGGGTTAGTTCACGCAAAAATGAAAATTGTCATCATTTACTCACCCTCATGTCACTCCAACCCCATAAGACGTTCATTCATCTTCAAAACAAATTAAGGTATTTAAAAAAAACTGATTTCTGTCTCTATTAAAAGTCCATTCAACCAAAACTTTTGACGCCTATTAAAAATGTTCATAAAGGAAATTTATATGAATCGAGTGGTTTAATCCAAGTCCTCGGAGTAGACACAATTGCTTTATGTGAAGAACAGATTTACTTAGGCTTTTATTCACATATAAACATTGATCAGAGAACATATAAAGCACATAAAATATGTAAACGTAAGCTCAAACGTACATACTTCTCGAAGCATTGAAGTTTTGGTAGAATGGACTTTTTTTATGGAAGTACAGAAATCTCTCAGGTTTCATTAAAACAATCTTCATTTTTGTTTTGAAGATGAACAAATGTGTAGTGTAAGACGAGTGTAATCGATGACAGAATTTTCATTTTTGGGTGAATTATTCCTTTTTTTAATTTTTGAAATGTTTGATAGAAAACAAATATCTTTTGTACAATGTTATCACTAAGTATATGATTCAGTTTTCACTATCTTAACTTCAGACTTTCCTTGATGGATCATAAAATCACAGAATTATTTTGATGACAACGACAATTTATTAGGAAGACTAGTCAGTCTTCATTTGAAATGAAACACCCAATTTTTGAAGACCTCTACTTTGGCACTTTCTGCATTCAGGAATCAATTAACAGAAAAAACGACCACACGAAAATACAGTATGTGCATACTTAAAAAAAATACTTTAACACATTCAAGTACGTCAGCTTTAGTTCCATCATCTATTTTATATAAAGAGACTCATTCATTGAGTGTTTTGAAAAACACCACCTGAGAAAGCTTAAATAAATATTAGCCTTGGCAATCTTGCAGCTGAAATAATCTTTCAATATAGCTGAGATTTTAACAGTTGTATAATTGGACAGTTGTACAGTTTGGATGGAGTTACCTCACCTAATTCAAAAACGGTCTTTTATTCTAGTGCATTTTACTTACAATAAAGGGATTTGCTGAAAAGAGTTTGTGTCTGTGAGGTCTGATGGTGTAACAGTTGATCTCATGTCTGGAAGTGTGAGGCACAGTGTGACGGGATGCAGCTTGTATATGGTGACTGGTTTTAAAGGGGTCATATGATGCAATTTCAATTTTTCCTTTCTCTTTGGAGTGTTATAAGTTCTTGGTGCATAAAGAAGGTCTGTAATGTTGCAAAGACTAAAGTCTCAAATCCAAAGAGATATTCTTTATAAAAGTTAAGAGTCAACCACGCCTACCTAGAACCTTGTTCTAACACGCCCCCACATGTCTACGTCACGATGTGGGAAGATTTGCCTAACGCCGCCCAAATGTTCACGCAAAGAAAGGATCGCCGGATCGGCTTTCACCGTGGACGAAGCGGAGTCCAGCCCAGGGTCGTCACATGTGGATGCCGCAAGCCCGCCGGACGCTCCTTTGTCGAATCCGCCGGCCTCTGCTCACTCTAGGCCGCCACCGCTAACTCTATTTCCTGGCCTCCACTCACTCTAGGCCTCCGGCCTCCGCTCACTCTAGGCAGCCGTGTGTGACGCTGTGTTTCGTTGTGAAAGCGAAACTACTTTGTTTGGCCTTCCAAAAGAGGACACGACTAGAAATCAGTGGTTAAGTTGTATTTACAACACTGTTCCAGAACA